GTTTTTCAGTTCAGCATTACTATTCAAATATGAAACGAATTACTATTCATTTGCAATATGCTGTCTGCAACATAAAAAATAATTTTTCAAAACCATTCATGGAGATTATCAACGCGTGCATGGTTTCAAATACTTGGACATGCGCACTATTGGTACTGGTACATGTAATGTTCCTGCTGCCATACCAACACAGACTACCAAAGGTTACTCCTTATATAACAGGCCATACAAAGTAAATTTGTTGTTTCTCAGATTTAAAAAAAAACATTAACATGAAAACAAGAGTCTGAGGGGAAAGTCTGTTATACCATGGATGAAAGGTAAATATAATTAAAGAAACAGATTTCAGTTTTCCTACCAGAAGCTTCTGTTTTACCTTGAATTGGTGCTAAATCTTTGGCAGAAATGTCAGAAAAAACCCTTACAAATTGGCAGTCTTTCAGTCAGTTGCATCATACATGTAGGCATGGCCTTACAAGGCCACAACAATCGTATGCAATTGTGACTTCTTCTTCCTATTCCATGCAAACCTCAATAGGTTGAGGGCTCCAGCACGGTGGGGGTGGGGGTATTGGATGGGGTGGTCGCTTGTACAAGTTTTGAGTGACTGTGTATGTTGTGGCCTGCAGAGGGCAGTGTGTATGTTCTGGCCTCTCAAATGCCAGGGGCGCCACTCCCTGTCCGCCACCGAAAGCAGGGTGGCGGTGAGTACCCGTAACTATAACAACAACACCATCGGTACATGTATTTTTATTAATCAGTCTAGCAGCCAAACCACCACAGAGCTGACTGGATATTTTACTCCTGACTTTAGAATTTGTCAGTTATTTGTAATGAGACAGAATGTACGTCTAGTTCCACCAGTTATTTAAGCTACCTGAGTGAGTGGTTTTCAAGGCTTTATTAACAGTAAGTCTCATATTCATTTCTTAATATATCAATATTCATTGCAATGTACCATCACAAAATTATAACTTTTAGTAATATTAGCATCATGTCATATCATGTATATTGTCACGAGACAGGTACCAAGTAAATCATTATGATTAGAATAATGATAATATATAATCATACCACAGAAGCAAAACTAGAGTTTGCAGAAATATTTCCTTTAGTGGCATTATGCCCCTTTTGCCTAGACAATGATTGTTGAGAGACAAAACTTGGATGTCTCCCTTCACTTTATAAATACAATATAATGCACAATATTAAAGTATGCTTTCAAATACTACAGAGCACAAAAGAGTTTAAGATTTTATTAAGATTCTATAATTCTTTATCTGTGAAATTAATTGAGGGGGGCCTGCAAGGGGGGGGGGTCCCCGACAACTGCGCCAAATGTAAAATGCGCCAATTACGCTCTACGTTGAATTAGAGTGGTCTGTCTACGCTCTACGTAGAATTAAAATGGCCGATAACGCTCTATGGAAAAGGGTTTGCGGGGCCCCATTGAGGAATATTGTTACTTTTTTGTTGATCACTGCCTCCTAAGTTGAAAGGGGTGCTAGCATGATCAGCGAAAAGACTGTATTGAAAACATGATTTGGTTGTAATGTACAGTAGAGGAAAAAGACTCTTGAGATGTATGAAGGATATTGTTTCCAAATATTTTGATGTTATAAGGAAATTTTGCATTGGGTAATATTTTGAAGGGTTTCAGATGTCCGACATTGTCAAGAAATGTTACCAATAAAATTAACTTCTAGTATGACATTGTGTCCTCCAACATATTTGATTGCACTAGTATATGAATGAAACAAACCAGACTTTATTATGAAGAAATGGCTTTTAGCTGAAGGTTACACCAATTTGCATATCCTTGGTTTTCTGACATTCTGAAGTAAATTTCGGCATCAGCAAAACATGAAAACAGAGGGCTGGGAAGAAACTTGGATGGGAGAAATTACAGCATATTTAACAATCTCTCTGATGAAAATTTTGTGCCAAACAGCTACCTTAGCAGACTGTCAATATTCTTTCCATTTCAGAACCAACATGGCGTACAGCTAGACATAAAATGAATCTTCTGTAAAATTCCTGGTAACGATGAAAGATCCTTGTACATGTATGAGTACAGAACAACATGATGCTATTGGCTGCCAGGATCCCATCCCAACATAGCAGCTGCACCAGGGAATGACACGTTGCACAAATTTTACAAGTTTTCAATAGGCCACATAAATACAGTTTCCTGGTACTTGTCATTAAAAAATTAGGAACTTCATTTAGAATAACCAGGAGTTCAGCACCAAGGAAAGGTACTACACATTGATTTGATTTGTAGTTACTGAATTTTTTCTAACAAATGTCAAAGAACCAAGGAATTGGTGTGGGCTTATGTTTTAAAAAAAAAAGATGAATAAACATCCAAGCAACTCATCAAGATGACATGAGATGAAAGGAAAAAGTTCAATAAATGCATATTGTTTCATCACACTACCAGCAGTTCTAATCTACTCATTAGTCTACCAGTGAGTTGTGAGTGCCACACCACTCCCAGAGCCGACTGGAGAAAACCTGGTTCTCCTG